GTGTGAGAATAGAACTCCAAACTAAGCTGGTTTTACCCCAGACAAATATGTGTTCTCGTTGTCTCACTACACAGCACTGTATCCCATTCCATGGCGGCAAGTGCATGAGAACATATACATCTACCTGGCCTTTAAAGGCAACCGATTTTTAATTGCCCAGCGTAGATGGGGAGTGTTAGTGAAAAATGTACGTAGTTTCGCCGCTAGAAAGCATTCGTGATCGCTATCTTCAGATTTCGTCTTATTAATTTGCTTTTTGCGCCGCCTAGAATAGGCATTTCTATAAATAAGTCTTTCTTTTCTACAGTTGCGGTAGTAAGCTTTGCGGTGCGCACATAAATATCCCGAAGGATGAATCTTCTGGATAGCGAAGTGTTTTCTGCAACTGCCGGAGGTCTGCTTCAACAGTTTCAGGAGAGCAGATGCGCCATACTCTAGCCGCCACTTCCTGGGCTGAATTTCGTTTTATATTTAGGAGAATAAAGCTGTGGACATCGGGGTATTGTTCCGTGCAGGTTTTATTTCTAAATACCCCTGTCAGCACCAGCCCCAGATTGCCCCATGGGGTAATAGGGGGCAATCCGGGGCTGTGGACCTTTATGGATGAACGATATTTACGGTACACATTTTTCAAAATGTATTTTTTTGTCAAGAGTATCAGTTACCAGTATTTGTGCCTTGTTCCTTGAAAAAAGAACAATTCGGAAGTTAAAAGGAGAAAAAAGGCGCGTCCCGCTGCAAAAATATTTTCCAGAAGTGGGGCAATACGGGTGGAAATCCCCGTCCTCGAGTCCCGTCCAATCCCGAGGCCGGAGGACCCGTATAGCCCCGCCTCCAGAAAACATTTCCGCAGCGGGTGCCCCTATTTTCTCATTTTAGTTCTCGATTTGATTGTTTTTTCAAAGGACAAGGTGCAAAATAATGGTTACTGAGACTTTTTTTGACAAAAAATAGATTTCGAAAAATGTATACAGCAAATATAGTTCGTCCATAAAGGTCCTCAGCCCCGACTTCCCCGGGTTGTCCCGTCCCCAGCTCCGCTTCGCAGGATATACCATCCTCTTGCCTGTGTATAAGGACATTGGGGAAGGCGATTTCGTTATCCAACTAAAGATGGAATACATGCCAGTCACTGCCATTTCACATTACCTCTTAATTTGTACTTACTAGTCGTCCGTTACGTGGAGTGTTTTCTTGCCCCTTTGTCCCCTTGAGGTTCCACGCGACCGTCTATCCCTGCCCCGAGTCGGCTGCTGACCGCCGGACTATGCTAATGGACGTGGTGCAGAAACTGGACGACCTGGAAACCGTCCTGACGCAAACGCAACAGCATCGTCAGCGAATTTTGGAGGCGGCGGCCAAAAACCTCAACAGCTGGTTCATTCGCGTGCGCAAAATGAAGGCCATCTACCATACCCTGAACCTCTTTGATCTGGATGTGACCACCAAGTGCATGATTGGCGAGTGTTGGTGTGCGGTTTGCGATCTGGATCAGATCAACCTGGCTCTCTGCCGTGGTATGCAACGCTCCGGCAGCACAATTCAACCGATCCTCAATCACATGAGTACCAGCGACAAACCGCCCACGTTTCACAGGGTGGATAAATTCACCTCCTCCTTTCAGAGCATAGTTGATGCCTATGGCATCGCGCGTTACCGCGAAGTTAATCCGACACTCTTTAATCTGGTGACTTTCCCCTTCCTGTTTGCTGTGATGTTTGGTGATGCCGGACACGGGCTGATTATGTTCCTCTTCGGTCTATGGATGGTCCTCTGTGAGCGACAACTTTTGGTTAGTTCATCTTATCTTTCCACACACTTTCCTAATCATCAAAATTGTGCTCTTCCGTATGCTTCAAAATGAATTAACTATGAAGTAATATACACGCATATAATTTGGGGTTGCAATACCACTGAGGACGGCACTTAGTTCTAAGTTTTAGGGGGCCTGATTTGAATATCACCCATATATTGCGTGTTGCTGTATGGCTGTCTTCTGTTAGTAGACGTTTTTCTACGTGACTTTGAGTCGCGCACAAAATTTCGATAAAATCTTTCAAGTTATGAGTATCCATCAAAGTCTGTTTGCAAACAATGCGTTTACGTTGTAGTATACTCCTAAGATATTTCGGTATGCCAACCCACGAATACGCGTCTTTTTAGTCGCCTGCATAGACCATACTCGGTAAAAAATGACAACCTAGGTTGTAAACCTTTTTAAATCGATGTTCGATGCCGCTGTAAATTCCAGTATAGTTTATAGACAACGCAAGCAAAGAAATTTTTCTCGTTCTCATTTGGCAGCTAATCAGTTTCTCTTCGACTTTTTTTCTCAAAGTAAGTGCATATTTAGTTTTAAAATGATTCTAATTGGGATATTTTTTAAAGCCGTACAATATACATACATGTAATATCGTATATGTATCCTCATTAATACACGTCCTGATCTACAGTAAATTTTTATGAACACTACTTGATACCTCCTCCGTTCCATACAGGGCTGTAGGACTTTCCTTACATTGAAAGCATACGGCTTGTAGACTGAAAATTCTAAAAGAAAATGCAACAGCAGATGGGGTTTAACATAGTTGGGGAATCAGAAAACGTTTAGAAAACCTGCATATATCCTTCCATTGGGTATAGAGTTTGAAGAAGAACTGATTTTTGACAAAGTGAGCACTGGAAAAATATGTTTGCTTACTTTTTGTACATAAATTATTTGAATTTGCAAGGTTATCGAAAATCAATAGGGAGTGTGCATATCACTTTAGCAGTCATCTTTTTTTTACCGAGTGAGGTTTACATAGGTGGCTGAAGAGACGTGTATTCAAAAGCCAACACCCCAGCATGTCTGATATATGTTGTAATGGTGCTGCAAGATAATTAGTATTACAATCTCAGTAAATTGATCCTTTCAGAGCGAAAACGCATTTCAAAATTTTGATTTGCATTTCATGAGCTCAGTCATGGACATCATCTGGTTCGCAGTTGGCGGCAGGGGGGGGGAAGGGAGTTGGGCGACTTTCTTATCATTGTTAGGAGGGTTTGACAGATTTGAATAATTCAGTTGACCCAATTGTGAAAAATTCGCGGCTTCGGTGGGAGTCGAACCCAGTTGACGGTGAGCCTCGCAGCTGAATGGTAGAGCGTTCGCTGCGCAAAAGCCTTTCCTATCATTAATTGCTCTCATTCTCGCGTCCCTGCTGTATTTTGAAGACACAATCTCATACATCTACAACTAGTCAAGTGTTTGCATGATCCTCGCGTTCTATCAGAATTTCCTCCAGAACCTCTTTTTACCTTCATAATTGTGGACTTGGGGTTAACGGACAGTCGGAGCTCTCATTCCCTGTGAACTTTGTAAGCACAAGTCAAACCCACTTAGACTGATGAATACTTCGAGGCGACAGTGGAGCGGTTGTTGATGTGGGTTGTGCCCCAATTACAAGTCTACACTATTCATTTTCAGGAAAAGAAAATCAAGGCCGAACTGTGGGATACGTTCTTCGGTGGGCGCTATGTCATACTTCTCATGGGTGCCTTTTCCATTTATACGGGTCTCATCTACAACGACATCTTCTCAAAGTCGGCAAACATTTTCGGTTCTTCCTGGTATCCCGTCTACGACAAGAGTGCTATTTTCTCAAAAAGCGTGCTGCAGTTGGAACCCAGAGTGAGCGAAAACATCAGCCATCAAATGTACAGCGGGCAGCCCTATCCCTTCGGCGTGGATCCCATCTGGCAAATTTCCACCAATAAGATCCCCTTTGCAAATTCTCTGAAGATGAAGATCTCCATTATTCTGGCTGTCCTGCACATGGTATTTGGTGTCGTTTTGAGCCTCTTTAACCACCGGTGAGTTGCGGTAGAATGTCCTCGATGCCATCTTTGCACTAACCTATTCACGCGACCACCATCATGCCCACCGCCATCGTAATCATCATTAAACTCGTTGGTCCAATGTACTGTACATTCCATATCTCATGAAATGTCAATCGATATTCCGGAGTGTGCTTAAATAGTGGTATTTATTATCTTACGGTCTTCTCTCAAGATATTTCACTTACGTCTAGGTGCCGTCTTTTGAACGAAATTCCTTCTTTCTTTCTGAATTTTTCTCACTGCCTTCACTGCCTTTTAAATTAACGTACATTGTGTAGAAAACATGCACAAAAATATTCGACAGGGATTCATATTAATGTTAATGGGAGTTGCCCTTATAGTTTTCTTGGTCTATGGGTGTCCTTTGCTAACCAGTTGGAGTTGCTCTTATAGGTTTCTAGGTCTTTTTGTTCTTTCCATAACCTTTTCACCCACGTTCTTAGTTCAGTAAACTTATTACAAGCGGCTTTTATTTATTTTCTATTGTGCATTTACCACGCATTAAACACACATTAACTACTCAGTAATCAAGCATTAAACCTTTAACTACGGATTTTGTAAGACAGTTGGGTAGGAGACTTCTGCCATTGTGCGGTCCTACAATGCATCTCTACCAAATATTCTTTCTTGTACTTGTTTGACAGCAAGTCGCGCCTTCTTCACACTTTATAGTTGAGAAGAGGACATTGTTCGGCTTTAAAATTTTTCTTATAAATTACCTAATAATTTTGAGCCCTACCAACCGTTGCACTTGAATTCAGGGTTTCCAAACTATATTCTGTCAAATAAAAAAGTAAGTATCTCCCTACGGTATAAAATGTTGCAATGGGTATGGATCATTTTGCATACTTTATAGGCCACATTTACAAACTAACGGATACGATGTATCCTGGATGAACTTTTTACGGTCGTAAAAATTCTCATAATTAGGTACCTTTTTAAAACCGAAAGCCAGCCTTTCCTCAGGTATGCACTTCGAAGGATTTTCTGTCAAACGAGTACGGGAAAGGATACCTTTTTGTGTGTGTGTTTTATGTAAACTGTGTTTGAGTTTAGAAGGGCGATGAAATCAGTGAGGATAATACGTACTACTTAAGCAGTCCTTTTCTCCAATGCATACTTTTTGCGGGCAGTCAGAGAGAAACCCGTTCAAAAGGCGGCAGCCTGAAGCGAAGGAAATGCCTTGCGATTAGGCTGTACGTTAGTCAATATTACAATCTTACTGGAGTAATTTTTTCGGAGTTTAAACAAATTTCAGAGGCGGGTTAGCCTTACATTACTCTGATTGGTTGCATTCGCTCAGAGTGATAAATACCTTTCGTTGGTGTTCAACCCACTCCCTTTCAACCCGTCTTGAATTGTCAACTGAGTAAAACGCTTGTACTGCAGTCGCGCTTAGCGAAAACTGGCCACGAGCTTCCTGGACTGCACCAGACCCCTCGTCCTTGTCGCGTATGTGTGTAACACGTGTCAGACGGGGGCTTATGCCACGTCAGCCTAGTCCGCCGACAGGCTCAGAATGTCCGCTGTTGCAGGGGGAGGAAGGGGAGGAGGGACAAACTATAGTGCAGTTGATTTGAAGATGTTCCTTTGGGGTAAAATGACTTTAATGAGTGAATTTTCGTGTTTGGCGCCCCAACTCGTCTTCGGATTAACAGAAAAAGTGCAATGAACAACTAGAATTTAAAAACTCCCAAAAAATCAATAATCATATAGAGTGAGACGTGATTGGTGGGTGTGGCCTCAGTTAGTGTCTTTCGTGCGGCCTCTGTTTTTTCCATCGTTCTTTGACGTGCTTATAAATACCATCCAACTCGACGTGCCGGTTGATGCATGAGTCGTCGGAGTGCATGGCTTCGAGGAATTCTCGACCATTTTTGAACATCTTCTTTGAATTAAAATTTCTTGGGATGCGTATGTTCCAGTTTATACGAATATAGTGCAGTTGATCCAGCATTTACTATCTCACTGCAAGAAACTATCAGGATTGACATTCAATCAGGTTACCACATGACAGGATAATGCGGCCTTGTTCAGGGCCGAGGGTCAGGCCGCAATGACTCCTGCATAAGGTCTTTGCTGACTTCTTGCCTGCGTAAAATGCAAACCTCCTCACTGGAGCCAGGTGTGTGTTTGTGTGTGCAGTTAGATATGGTGTTCACATCATTCGTGGACAGACTGCCTCATGCTATTCCGTGCGCTCGGTTTCATCTCTGGCCGTCCTGACTTTGTCTTGCCATCAAAACGCAGTGGGGGAGGAGGGAGTGGGACTGAAACAATGAAAGCCTGTTTCACTACGAACAGGTCCACGCGCAAATCGCGGTTGCGTCTACCTTACTGGTAACTATTGTACCTCATCACTCGGTCTTCGAAAAGTAGGGCTTTGTGTCAGTGGAAATATATCACGCACCGAATGCCCCTAAAGCTGCCCTACCGTTGCCGTTGGTAAAATCCCATCATGTATTGAAATTAGCTTTTTTTCTATTCTCACCCCAAGCCCCCCCATTCACAAACATTTCAACCGATGTGCTACGTTTTATCGCTTAGAGGCGTTCTCATTCATCTTACCACTGCCTTTTGACCTTCCTCTATCGCCCACTCAGGTTCTTCAATGACCGCCTGGATATTTGGTGCGACTTCCTGCCAAAACTGATTTTCATATCTTCCATCTTTGGCTACCTAGTTGCCATGATCTTCTACAAGTGGGGCGCCTACACTGCCATGGAGGCCTCCACTGCTCCGAGCCTGCTTCTCAGTAAGTAAAAAAACATTTCCCGCTAATCTTTATTGTACTCGCCCCACCGTGGCATTTGTTTACTTATGCTATTCTAACGTCTTTATATTTTTAGTGCTGATCAACATGTTCCGCTTCAATTACGAAGTCAAGGACAGCCCTGGAGATCCCTTCTACGCTGGGCAGGTAGGTGTTTTCTTTGGTCTCTGTGGGATAGGCCAAGGCATTTGCTCTGCCAGCGAATGTCATTTACCTAATAACTGTCATTGTGTAGATGACTGTGGGCATTAAACTGACAACTAAATGGCTCCTGTCATTTTGGCGCCTACCACGAAAGCCGGATTGGGAACCGCACTAATTTTTGACGAGTAGATTAGCTAGTACGACATCAAGGCACAAACGCTGTATTTCGTCCGTTGAGTCTCGCAATCATCTGCATGGTCGGAATCGACACGTGAATTGATGAACAGTGAGGAAGACTTCTAAAGAGTTGCGCTCTCTTTCACAAGGTTAAATTACGATCAACGACGCTGACAAAGGCAAGGAAAACGTGAATGGTCGTTTCTGGCTCATTAGCCGTCATCAGCCAGTCATACCCAATGCCAAGACAACGAGCCCGTGGTCCAACGGTTAGTGTGAAAATCTGATCAAAAGGTCGCGAGTTCGGGCATCAGGTGGTGCATCACCTGGGGTTGGGTATGGCTGGCTGCTGACGGTTACTAAGTCCGAAATGACTATTTCAGTTTCTTTTGTCTTCGTCAGCATTGTTCATCCTAATTTAATCTAGGGAAAAAGAGAGACCAACGCCAAGCAAGTCTTCCTCGTTAATCAACTCACATGTCGTCCCGGGGCATAGTGGTACGAGCGGGTTCCCTCAGCGATAAGTGAGCGTTAATCGACGAAGCTGTAGTTCAACGGCTACGAGGTGAGCGTGACCGCGTCCTGTTTGTTAAGATATTTAGATGTTTCCGCCAGGGGGAGAGGGGGAAGGCTACTTAAGCCTTCTACCACTCCCCGCACGCCAATAGCAAAAGTGACAAGAGGCGAGAGTGGGCGCACTGCATAAAAAGTTAAAAAAACATCGCTAACATGGTTGCTGAACTAGGTGTCGGAATTGCCCATCAGTTCAAAGCTAAAACGCGCAGCAGGTTCATGAAAACTCAGGACCGATTAAATACCAGTGAGCAGTCGAGTGCATTGCTGCCCATGCCTAAACTGTCCTTAAAACTACACAGGTCAAACTGAACGAATGCTTGGATTGCGCCTACACGAACATAAGCTGGTCCACCACTCCCACACCGAACCCGGTGTCAAGACAAAAGTCGAGAAAACCGGAGATAGGGGAGGGCGCAGGTGGTGTGCGCGAAACACACGCCAACACGCGCCACAACAACACCACCTTACTTGGTAGGCTCCGGCTTGGCAGCGCCATAAAGGCCACATTAAGAAGGTGCCATTGAGCCTGACTCTCAGCCTGCAGTAAGCCGACGCTGAAGGCAGGTGGTTATCAAACGTTGCCTCCAACCCCCCGATGACAGTAATTTTCAGTCCTCATTCT